GAGCCCTTCCCAGCACAGTCCGAGCCGTGTAGCGGGTGAAGGGGAGGACCAGCACGGATCCCCTGCTCTCCCTCACCTGCTCGTGGGCTGAGCTCCCAGGGCTGATGCAGATTTTTCCTAATGGCTGGCACTGCTATGTCTGCATTTTTTCCTTGTAACTTCACGGGCCCTCCTTCAGCTTTTAGTTTCTTGTCATGGCTTGCTGCATTTTCTTTCAGTAAATGTTTTCAAATGATCTCGTGAAGTCATGTTTTTGGCTCATTCCAGCTGCTGCTTTTGGCTGCGACACTGCTGAGAGGGTTAGCTGAGGTCGGCGAGAGCCTGGCCTGGGTTTGCTGCTCAGCAAACCGGTGTAGCCCAAAGGGACCCAGTCTGAGGAGCTCCCAAGGGGCTCTTTACACCAGGAATGGGATAATTCCCCATGGTTGGATGTGGTCGGAGAGCGAGGGCTTGACAGCCTGGTTCAGGTTTAAAGTTGCTAGTCTTGCTATTGGTTTTGCTGGGAGGCATCTTGGATTTGGGTGATTACATGTTTCTTTTTGCTCAGGAACACCTCTGGTTTGCCTTGTTGTTGTTGAATTTTTTTTCATGTTTCTTCACTGGGCTCTGTGTGCCAGAGGCTGAGATTCATGCTGGATTCTGGATTATCATGCTAAATTAGAGGTACTCAGTAAACATTAGGAGATGACATTTTGCCATGAAAAACTTTCTGATGAACATCTTCTCTCATCACCTGCAAAAAGACTGGAGGGTTGTACTTGGAAGAAGATTTAGGGCTGTCCAACTTGTGAAGCAAGAGTCCAGCTCTGGCCTTCCCATGGATACCAGGAACAGCCAACACTTCGTAAGACATTTTCTAGCTCTTTCTGAATGCAGCCGAAGGGATCAGGTGGAAGATTAGCTGCACTTCCAAAAACCTTTCCCCTGCACAGCCTGCGTGTGTGCAGAGGGCAGCGTCTGCGTGCTCTGGGCACACAGCTTTACCCCTCCTGCTGCTGTTCGGTTCAGAAGTGCTTCTTACATGGCCAGAGACATGGGTATGGGCTCCAGCTGCTTCTTTCAGAGATGAAGGCTGGGCTTCTAATTAAGTTCCTCAGAAACCCCAAGTTCTTTGTTTGCTTTGCTAGAAGTGCCATCAGATAGCAAAGGCGGCATGAGACTGGCCATCAGATGCTGCCCTATCGCAGCAGAGAAATGTCAGTACTGCCTAAGGCAGAGAGAGAGAAGGAGAAGGACTCATGGGCTTTTGAGCCTTTGAGAGCTCATTATAGTCTTTTGGTTTTTCCTGACATACTGGACAACGCAGACTAAAACTTCATCTACTTCTTTGTCAGTGCATTCATTCCTGGTGAGTTCAGATAGTGTTTGAGAGGGTTAGTTATTCATTTTAGTGGAAACTGGCTTCAAAATTTTCATCCTTTAATTTTATATACCTCTTACAGTAAGGCAGATAACTCTGTTCCAGTGCAAAGCATCAGTACTGTCTCTGTTGGAGTCATGGTTTGCTTTGCAGCCCAGTTGTCAAATAAAGACTGCAGCTGCTTCCCACAGAAAACACCCCACTTTCAGCAGGCTGTGACGGACTGGCCATTTCCAAAATTCACCAGGAGATTTTACATAAGGGAAGAGCAGCAATGGCCAATCTCTCACTTTCTGTCACAGCCCCTGGGTGTGGAGGCGGGCGTACATCCACAGGCTGAGTAACCTGCAGGGATGCTGCGGCTGCCCACAATACAGGAATGTATTCCATGTACTGCATGATGATGTTTAAAGAAAACATTTTCAGTGCCGGTTCCCACGCAGAGATGCAATTGAGAGGTCTCAGTGCAGCGTACAATTCGTTTATCAGCGATGTAAGTTAATGATAAGAGACCGACAGCCCTTTGAAATGATATCCCACCCTTTTGTTGGAGCAGATCACTGTGAGTTTGACTGCCATGAAAGGGAGGCCTCTTCACACTGCATTGGTACTCTTTTTAAAAAGAGTGCATGACTTATATTCACTTTCAGGGTCCTGCTAGCCTCCATTAGAGGGCTGCAATATCTGGGAAGCAAGCTTAGAGAAACCTGTCCAGAGTGGTTTATGGTGCTGGTGGATCACTCCAGCCCTTGCTACCTTTCTGCTTCAAAGCCCTGTTTTTACAGAGTAAGAGAGGCAGCGGCACTGAGCTCATGCCTGGCAGCTGGGGAAGGTGCTGTTTGATCGGCTGTCCCATGGGTCAGCTCGCTCCTGTCGGAGGCAAGGATTGATTCAGAGGGGTTTTGTGGCAGCTCGGCATCGCTCTCAGCACCCAGACAGGGGGACATGTTCCAGCGGTGGGTGAATTTTTGAAGGCTTCGCTCTCCTCTTGCCTTCTTTGAGCTACCCAACTAGGTAGATGGTGCCTACAGTTACCCAACTCAGGTTTCTCAGTCTGCGGGTCCAATGCACAAATTGGAGCTGGCGGGTCAAATTTTGAACAGTCATTTTGTTTTGAATGTTATGTTTTGCTTTTTCAGAGCTCAAAACAGCCCACCTCAAGGGATGGCCCTTGGCTAATCCTCATTGTCCTAACAAAAAGGGTGTTTTAAGCAGCCAGGAATGCATTTACATTGGCTCTCAACTTGTTGCATCGGATGCCTTCGCTTGGTGCAATTTTGGCATTATATGGAATAAAGCAAGCAAATAGGAATGTAAACACACTTTTATATCCCAGGGCTCTGCACTGGTCTGGGAATGGGCGGTCCAGTTTAGGTTTTCGTCTTATATGGTTGAGCATGAATGGAACCCAAGCAAAGCACGTTACCAGCCCTTTTCAGGGGTTATCTGCTTTCATGATTTTTTTTATCTCCTCCAGATTTTTTTTCTCCTCCAGCAGAAGCTTCCTGGTGTAAAGGAGGCAGCGGTAGGTCAAGAGCCAGGATACATGGGACTTATTCCCAGCTCTCCTTCTCTCCTCTTTATCTTGTTATTTTGGACTGGTTTGGTCTATACCACTTCCAGCACCAGCGAGCTCTGATCTTGTTTGAGCTTTCTAGGTGTTCCAGTAATGCAAATAAGAGTTAGTGAGGTGCAGATATCTGTCTGGGGGGACAAAGAAGCTGAGCAGAGAATTTCTAGAGAAAGATGGGGCTGCCAGGAGATTTCTGGCCTGCTTTTGCAAACCAAAGAAGTTTAGTTTAAGACTTGCAAAGGCTTGTCTGAACCAGGTCTCTGAGAGCTTTTGGCTTGACCTATTTCTGGTTTGGAAACCAAGCTGTTGTCTGGGGACCAGTATCCCACAGAAATTTTGGGGCAGAGTCTCTTGGGAAACAAATAGTGTTTGGGTTCTGCTGGTAGAAAGGGAGAAAAACAGGTTGAAAGGGTTGGGGAGATGGAGAAGTTGTGCTTGTACTTGGGCCTGACCATGGAAATGCTGCATAACCCGAGGCTGAAGAATCCAGAGACAGCATGGGAAGACCCCAGCTGCAGAGAGCGACGTTGGCTTTGCTCCTCTCCTGGTGACTGCTCTTACAAATCTGGGTGCACTCAGCAGTACTTTCTACTGATGTTTTGGGGTGAGATGGTGGAAAACAGTTCTGCCGTAGGGAATCCTGTGGCAGCACGCGTCCTCGAAGGGCTCAGGAGGTCAGGCTGGAGCTGGGGGTTTTGTGCTAATGTCAGCAGAGTCTGGGGTCCTGCAAGGTCTCAGCTGCAGGTGCCCCATCTACTTTGGCTCTGAAGCCCCCTCAGGATGGGGTAATGGGGAGACTTCTAAAATAAATCTGGCAGTCGTCTTTCTTCTCCCCGTCTTCTCTCTAGGTAGGGAATGACTAGACCTTTTATCCACTCGTCCTAGGAGAATTTGTACCTTCTGAAAAGCTCCTACAGTCAGAATGAAGTTGGTCTCTCGTTGCACCTCCCCTTCTTTTCATTTCCCCATTGCCGAGATGCAGCAGACTTGGTCATTCCTGAAACAGTGACCGATTGTCTGGTTTGGCTGGTTCAGCTATTTGCTAAACATAATGCTCTTTCATCTTCGAGGAAATCGTCTGGACACCTCCACCAGAGTGGAGCTTGCTTTATGCTGCTGTTTCAATAGGCAAATAAAAGCGGCTATTTTCCCAGTTTAAACATAACCTGATTTCTCTAATGAATTAGAAATACTTGAGGGGAGGGGAAAGATTGTTTTTTACTGAATTTTTAAGAACTGTAATCCTAAATTAACAAGCCAACTAGCCCTTTTTTCTGCCTGGGAAAAGGATTTCCCTCCTCCCCTGATATTCCCCCTTAAGAAATATCTGCAGCACTCGCACTTCATCATTCTTGTCGGGACCTAAAGGGCACCCGCCAGGGCCCTCTCGCTCTGTGTGCACGATGTACGGCTTTTCTCGTTGCTCCCTGGCAAATCAGGGCACTTTGGCTGAGGTTTGAGATTTCTTTTCCCTGGTAGCAGAGTGAAAATGTTACAAAAAGCAATCCTCTCTTAGAGTTTCACCATCGAGAGAGGAGATGGTCACCTGTCTGCTTGCATCTGCTCAGGGTTTGGGGGCTCTCAAAGCCAGTGCCTTGCTCATTTTCCTGTTTCCTGAGATGACGGGAAGGAAAGCGTAGGCTTCTGGCTGCGCTTCAGCAGGCTGAGGTTTAGGAAAAAGACACAGCTCAGGACTGACTCCAGTCCAAAGCCTGGCTGGCTGGTGAGCAGCGTTTGAGAGTGAGCTTGTATTCCTGAGAAATTAATAAATAGCCACCAAAACCACTGTGCAACATTTATCATGTTGCAAATGATGCAATTCAACTTTCTTATTGTGGTAACCAAGGATTTGACCAAAAGAAAAGGGACCAAGGAGAAATACACCCCGACTTCTTCCTCTAGAGAATGAGTCAAGTGCCTTGCATGCAGTTCCAGTACAATGAAATTGAGAAGCCTGGCCAGCAGCTGGGTTCAACAGGAAAGCTGAGGACAAGCTTTTGTGCGACTGCTAATAGGTCCCTCTCCCTGCCGGATGGGAGGAAACAAACAGCCCTTTTTGTTTTGCAGTTCATGACTAAGAACCCCAACATGCGGCTGGGCAGCCCGGGGCTGGGCGGCGAGAGCGCGATTCTGCGGCACCCCTACTTCAAAGATCTGGACTGGGACCTGCTGACCCAGCGTCAGATGGAGCCACCGTTCAGGCCCCGAATTGTATGTGGGAAGGAGGGGTGGGGGAAAGGGATCCCTGGTGATATTTTTTCTTCTGGGCTCTATAAGCAGGTTTATTCCCGTGAGACAGGAAAAGAGGTGAAGGAAGGGCAACCTTGACAGAAAAGCCGTGGCCCAGGAGCTGGGGGGTGAGGTCTCTGGTCTTGGCTTGGCTGCTGGTTGGCCACCTGATGTTGTACAGGTCATTTTTCCCCTCCATGCTGGATTTTCAAAGGCAGTTCAGCCAAAAGATGGAGGTTTGTCAAAGCAGCTGCAGCAGATTAGGTACCTAACTACCCTCTGCCTTGCCCGAAGTATAAAACAGGGTAAGTAATCCTCATCCTGCCCACTCCACCTACCCCTTCACAACTGGGCTGTCTCTCTCATGTCTCTCGCTGTCTGTACAGCACCCAGCACAGTGTTCCCTGCTCAGGCCACTGTCAGCTGAGGGGTTCGCATGGCAGACAGGCTGTAGAGGGCACAGTGCTGCCCCTTTTCCCAGCGGTGCCACACAGCCCTAAGGATGCTCTGTGATAGAAGAGTGCTGCTCTCCATGGAGAGCCTTTCCAAGGTTGTGGCTTCCTTGCCTTTGAAATTGTCACCTGGAGTGGCTTTGTCTCATGCTGTGGTCACTCTGCAAGCTCTTAGTGGCAATGCTCAACCCAGTCCTGCTGCAGGAAGATCACTGGGTGCAGGATCAGGCACGCGGGGGAGCTGTGGCAGCTCAAGATCAGGCTCTTGAGTTGTTTCTTGACTGAATCAAAGGCTAAGGGAGTCTCCTCAGTCCGCCATGAGCTGGACGGGATCTGGGAACATTAGATTTCAATGTCAATAAAACGTCTTGTTCTGGATGCAGTAAAAACAGACGCCTTGTCAAAATGTGCCACAAACCCAGTTTGTGTGTGTGCATTGTAAGCAGTCCCACTGTGGCGCGCAGCAAGGAATCCAGCACCTGGAGGCAAGCCATTTGTCTTCTCACAGCCCAGTAATTCATTATTGTGCAAGTTTAATGGCTCGCACATAGAGGAGCGTACCTCCCCCTGCCCCAAAACCCAGCTGAGACACTCTGCAGATAAGGAGGGACTGTGCGGAGTCAGCTACTTGGAAACACGGCTGATAACTGCTTCGAGTGGCTGGGGGAGTGC